GAACGTGTCCTTAGCCGTTACATATCCATGCTAATTCCTTATGGAAGAAAGAGGTAGGCACAATAAAAAGAACCCTACTAGTATGGGAGTCGGCGCTCTCTGAGAACAAGACATTGTTGGTAGAGATATTGCCGCCTTCTTAAGCTCGCTTAAGGCAAATCAAATGCAGGTCTAGTAAAAAGAGGATTCTCTAGGTTTAGTTAAAACTGCAACTTAATATTTGAGAAGGCAGATAAGACGGTCAGCTGTTCTAGTCTGCGAGCACTTGGAGTGAATTAAATAAAAGAATTAATTTTACCCCTTAATCTCACTTAATCTTGTAGCCAAAATGTCATATACGAGACCTAATCGGCTTCCTGACCAATTGTGAACCCAGACTATGGATGGCTACACTGGCCTGGAGCCAGATTAAGAGGGCAAACAAGTCTTTAAAAGCAATGCCTGCTACCCTAAACTTATATTAATAGTTGGGGACCGGCATTAGAAGGACGTATTTGTGAAGAGTATTAGACTCTAAATGACGATTCGTAGGATGCAAATTGCCTAAACCGCCTGAGTCACTTTCAACTTCAGGTTTTACTGGAAGTAGTTTGACCTTGTTTTCGCAACTTGGTCATATTGGTAGGAAGACTTAGAGGAACACACTAAGTCAGAAGTCCATAGTATGCATGATAAGTTCCAGAGTCGACCATGAGCGTGGTACATTCCCAGACGCTTCGCCGGCATCGTAGCCGGCATTGTCAGTAAGTCTTGCCAGTCTTAGCACCACACTACAACTCGTCAAAGAGACAAGTGAAGTCGATCCTTTGAACAATTGTCTACTAAACAATCGTGATATCTATCCTTCCCCTTTGGGCTTATCAACAATCCTATATCCTCGTATCATGCCTTCACTATCACAATTATTTCCCACACTGCGTCTGATAGACTAACTTGAGGCTAAAGATCCCGAGTAATTCTCCTGGTCAAGTCTTTAATTCATTGACCACGTCTATGGTCAAACATGCGAAGAAGAGTTGGGTTTCGAAAAATCTCTTATTTCATAATTGTTGAGCTTACTTCCATTTCGAGTGAAAGTGTTGAGTGAAGAGATTCGAAGGTCGGTTCC